TGTGTGTGTGTGTGTGTGTGTGTGTGTGTTTATGTATGATACGGTATTTCTCCAACATATGTACATACATAACATACTGCAATTCTGCAGCAGTTAACGTATTTACACAAGTAACTAACTTCATCTAACTTACTCATATTTCTCGTTGTCCAGACTTTTCAGAATTTCAAACTCTTGCATCATTCGAAGTCCAACCCGCAAATGGTGGTTCTCCAGTACAGATACAACATACAATTTGGCAAAATCAGAACTGTAAGTAGAGAAGCCATTAACATGCAGCATCCAGCTTCTTTAAAAAACAATTTTTTTTATGTAACAAGAATTCAAGAAAAGGCACATAATTATGCTTTGTATTTTTTGTTTCTTCTTTTTTTTTCAAAAAGTTATTTTCCATCAAAAATTTTCATGGAGCTGTTTTATTCTGTGACCACTAATGTTTGGCCTGTAGTCAGCTGTCACCGTCACTTCTTCTTCCTCTTCTTCGCGTTCACCAGCTGTACACTCTGGCGGAAAGTTCTGGTTGTTCGTCCACTCCTGGACTGCAGTCCTGCTCCAGAACCTGAGTGTTTCGTGTGCGAAACAGATCTGATTCACTTGAATGCAGACTGTTGGTTCCCTGCCTCTCAGGCAAATGCACTCCGACTTAAAAGGAGGCTCCCAATTAGTCGACTCTGACGACATGCTTTTGGGCAGGCAGTGGGTCTATTCTTGTTTTCCCCACAATGGGGTCCCGGAACCCACACGTGGATAATCGTTGTTTAATTAACGGGTTATTTACAGAACATGGCTCTTTTCAGTGTCGCCTAAAAGTCTCTCTTTCTCAGCCATTTCTCCAGCCCGATGTGCTTTCATGACCAATGTATCTTCAATGTTTTGTATCTACATTTGAGAAGGTCTGCCTCTACAGTTCTCTCCAAGCCACCATGGCGTTTAACGTGGCCAAAATACCTCAGCTTCGGGGACAGGATACTTCTTATGTCTTAGTATTAGCAGCAGCTTTATTTCCTGGACTATGGGTTTTACCAGGAGTTAGCAATAACCGTTTGAGTCAGTTGTTGAGTTAGGCTTAGGCAATAAAAGCTAATACCCATTAAAAGCCTCGTATATCGCGTCATCGCCCAATAGATACTCTCTCCTTCAATGCATGACATTTTTACGGGGTGAAACATCGGTTAAAGTTATGCAACCAAAGAGGTTACACAGTTCGTGGAAGGACCTTGGTTTCGCTGTTTCCAGGATTACTGGTTATAGACCTGTTGTAGGATCTTGGTCACGCTGTTTCAATGACTACTGGTTATAGACCTGTTGTAGGATCTTGGTCACGCTGTTTCCAGGACTACTGGTTATAGATATGTTGTAGGATCATGGTCACGCTCTTTTCAGGACTACTGGTTATAGACCTGTTGTAGGATCATGGTCACGCTCTTTTCAGGACTACTGGTTATAGACCTGTTGTAGGATCTTGGTCGCGCTGTTTCCAGGACTACTGGTTACAGACCTGTTGTAGGATCTTGGTCACGTTATCTACAGGACTACTGGTTACAGACCTGTTGTAGGATCTTGGTCACGCTGTTTCCAGGACTACTGGTTATAGACCTGTTGTAGGATCTTGGTCACGCTGTTTCCAGGACTACTGGTTATAGACCTGTTGTAGGATCTTGGTCACGCTGTTTCCAGGACTACTGGTTATATACCTGTTGTAGGATCTTGGTCACGCTGTTTCCAGGACTATCGGTTATAGACCTGTTGTAGGATCTTGGTCACGCTGTTTCCAGGATTACTGGTTATAGACCTGTTGCAGGATCTTGGTCACGCTGTTTCCAGGACTACTGGTTATAGACCTGTTGTAGGATCGTGGTCACGCTGTTTCCAGAACTACTGGTTACAGACCTGTTGTAGGATCTTGGTCACGCTGTTTCCAGAACTAATGGTTATAGACCTGTTGTAGGATCTTCGTCTCGCTGTTTCCGGGACTACTGGTTATAGACCTGTTGTAGGATCTTGGACACGCTGTTTTCAAGACTATTGGTTATAGACCTGTTGTAGGATCTTGGTCACGCATTTTCAAGGACTACTGGTTATGGAACTGTTGTAGGATTTTGGTCACGCTGTTTCCAGGACTACTGGTTATAGATATGTTGTAGGACCATGGTTACGCTGTTTTCAGGACTACTGGTTATAGACCTGTTGTAGGATCTTGGTCACGCTGTTTCCATAACTACTGGTTATAGACCTGCTGTATGATCGTGGTCACGCTATTTTCAGGACTACTGGTTATAGACCTGTTGTAGTGTCATAGTCACGCTGTTTCAATGATTACTGGTTATAGACTTGTTGTAGGATCTTGGTCACACTGTTTCAATGACTACTGGTTATAGACCTGTTGTAGGATCTTGGTCGTGCAGTTTACTATCCCACCACTGTGGGCTATAAAGGACCTTCACCACTGTATTTCTTGTAACAAAAGATATAGAGCTTCAGAAGGGACACTGTTGATTGCTGTACCACCAATTATGGAGCAAGCTGCTATAGGCAGACAGACAAAGCACTGCTCTTTTAATCTGGCAGGTTCTACAGCGTGCTTTTCACCAAAAGTATTTGTGTTACCTTTCTGCTGGAGTAAACAAAGCATGGATAATGATGCGTAGGCAACACACGTTTTCTACAATACTGCCCAGGCCTTGTGCTATGGGAAGGTCTTGACATTCCAGAGTCTAATTGTGGAACTCGTTTCTTAACGCAGGCGTGTCTTTCTACTCACACTCGCCATCGCCAGGGGCAACAGTTCCCATGCCTCCCCATAGCACATCACAACACTATTGTCTAGAAAATCAGAATGGTGCCAACGAGTTATGGAGGGGTAGTTAGTTGCGAATCCTTTAAAAGACGATGCAGAACCAACCCCAGCATTTTTTTTTTGGTTGCTGTCCTTTTTCTAGGCAAATTTACGTCCAGTAGTTTGCCATTGCCACCTGGACGGTCGGCTTCTCGATACCACTATCAAAACCAACGCCAGGCGCAAGACCCGAAGCTGGGATCGAACTCGAAAGGCAGCTGGGATCGAACCCGGCACCCCGGCAATACGAATTGCGTTCTCAAGCCACAGTCACAGGGGTAGTAGAATCTTGAAAATAAATATGAAAAACCATATGACAGAGTAAAGCACTGAATTCATTTCACCACTTTACACTGGATCCTCCTTCTGCTTTACTAATCCCCCAATGGAGCATAGGCCCTCAACCAATTCACGCCAAGTCGTTCTATCCTTATCTATGACATGCAGCTCTCTCTTTGTCCTTCCCCTTTTTTTTTTTTAAACTTTACTCTCTAGTTCCCCTCTCAGTGTGCTTTTTGGTCCGTGATACTCTCTGTATATATATATATATATATACGTATGCCGTTTATGTATCTCTATATATATATATTACGATAAATACATTGACACTGGATTTTCTGACTATAAAAACATCTTTTTACAACATCGATAGAGAATCTTTCTGAAAAAAATGGGACACTGTGGGATCCCGTAGAATATTATTAATTTAGTAAAAATCAACATGTGAAGAAATGAGTTCTTTGTGATAGGAGGCTAACAGATGCATTTGGAAAAAGAAAGGATATGCGACAGGGATGTATTTTGTCGCTCTCTCATTTTTACTGGCTGTAGACTGGATCACAAAGACAGCAACCGCCAACACCAAGAATGAAATTCAGTGGACCCCTACAAAACAGCTTGATGATCTGGACTTCGCTGATGATATTTATCTTCTGTCCCATTCACGGAATCAGATGCAAGATAAATTAAACATTCCTGATGCGAGATCCCAGCAGCTAGGTCTAAAAATCCATAATGGAAAGACAAAGATAATGGGAATAAATCAGGCAAACAGTAATGTGGCTTCTCTTAATGGTATCCCACTCCAAGACGTGGAGCCGTACAACTATTTGGGCAGTAATGTAGATCAAGATGGGGGAACTGAGAGTATTTCAAAATACAAAAACAAAGGGCAAGATGAGTTTCATAGCACTAAGAAATGTGTGTAGATTTAAAAAAAAGAAATTAAACTAATACTTAACTGAAATATCTTAATTGTAATATCAAATCAGTACTGTCTTATGGAGTGGAAACATAAAGAACAGCTAAAACAATTGCTAATAAACTACAAACATTCATTAACTTGTGCCTGCACAGAATAGAGGAAATTAAAGAGTTACTTGCTTCGTTTCTAGCGCAAATGGAAATCACACAAGACTTCTTTCACTGCCGTATTTGAAAACTAGTGCAAAATATGTCAGTCCCAACAAGTCGTGTAGCTCGCACACGCAAGGTTTGTTTGTTTGTTTTAGTATTAAGAAGCCATAAGTTGTTAACCCTTAGGCTCGGTATTATGGATATCGCAACCTTTCGGCCTTGATTCCATTGTAAATACCGTAAATCTGGAAGAAATGTGGCTTTTCTGCCTACCCCCGGGAGTGAACCCGGACCACAAGGAGTTCGTCACCCGGTCTCCGCACAATCGGGTTTAGCCAATTACGCTAGAGAGCCGGGCACACGCAAGGTAAAATCCTAAGGCAGCTTTCAGCTGACCAACAGTCCCACAACAGAATTGTAGTTCACTATTAATGCTTGAAGTCAGTTACAAAAGCCGGTATTGAACAGGCAATTGTGAATTAGTACACGCTAATCCGAACGTATTCGACCACCCGCCATTTTTACTGCAGAACAAAACAAAGCCGTTGCGGGCGGTGAAATCCACAGCTCACCCTTGGCACTCAACTCAGCAGCTAGGCCACGCAACCATCGGACTCCCGCACCAGAAATTTGCAATCTCAATCAGCAAACCCTGGCTAGAAATTAATGCTTTTCAGAACGTCAGCTGTAAACCTGCGATCTGCCATACTGGACCATTTTCTCATCCCAAATTCTATTGTGTCTCAACAAAACAATCAAACAACGTGCCCTGAATTATGTTCTTACTTAAAACAGACTGACCACCTACCCTGAATTTTTATGAAAACTGTTGTTTGTGCCCGTGTGTTCAATGTCATGGACGATTGCAGTCAGAAACAAGCAAAACAGTTCCAGCGGATTCAGAACGCTCTGTTGAAGTTCGCAAATATAAGTTAGTGAGTTAGTATTCAAATGCAAAGTCTTGAAACTTTTCAAATACCCACTGACTGACTTTCTACCCCACTAGGACATCACACAAGCGATAAACACCCGATGACACAAAGTGCCACCGTGTGGATGAGTATCGCCGTGGAGAGGTCCCAGAAACCGCGTTCAGACAATTGGCCATATTTATGGCCTGCCTATATTGCGGCCCCTGGCAAATGCCAGGGTGGGGCTTCAAATAAAAAAAATTTCATCCTCAAAAGGACGAAACGGTTTTTATGCATTTTCAAATACGAGTTAGTTCAAGTTAATGATTCTCTGTGCGCCGTTCAAGTTTTCAAATACAAGTAAGTAATTCATGAAAACAAAATCAGTCCGATATGTTTTGATTTTGGTCTGAGTAGTGTATTGACCCTTATGGGCCAGTATTTCCTTCTTAATGGGGTGTTCTGTGGTTCGCACACACAGACTACATAAGCACAATGGTGAACTACTTATTCCAAACCTGTGTATGTGCTTGTTACATGGGTTATGCCCCGTAAGGGGGCGTTGAACAATGACCTCTCCGTGCTAGTCAAATAAGGAGCGTTTATCAATGGCCCGATACTGTTAACTTTTGACAGACTGGATGGCCATTTGGTTTCTCATAGTAAGTTACTGTACTACTGGAATGCTTCCACCACAACGTAAAAGAATGTACAAGATTCATTACAACACATCAGGTTGACACTTACAAGGAAGCCTGTCTTGACAATCATACAGTTGACTGTCTGCAGCACATCGGCAGCATGGCAAGCGTTATGGTATGGGTTCAATCGGTAATGTTTCTCCACCTGATAATAAACAATCATTCACTCAGTAATAAACGTTAATTTACGAAATGACACAAAATGCCACGCATATTTGCCTGAGATTAACAAGCTTGATAATACAAGGCATGCCACAAAATTACATATTTAAGGCATTTTATCTGTTGTAGATTTGAACGAAGAAGACAAAAAGATATGATCTGGCACTACGGCTGCCCTGGTGAAACAGACAGTTGCGTTTGATTAATGTTGATTCCCCCGAAGTCGGAGTACATCTGCCGGAGAGGCGGGGAACGAGAACTGCGAACAAATAAGCCAGTAAAACGGATGTACACGCAAAACTCAGGTCAAGGTAAAAGCCAAAAGTCCATTTTGGACGAACAACCGCGACTTACCGCCGGAATTCACAGCCGGTGAACAAGAAGAAGAAGATTAATGTTGAATTTTGTAATTCAATTTTAAAGGATTCACTTATTTGCTTTCTCTATGTAACTGTTAAGAGGCGGGAGCCCGAAGACAACTTATCACAGACATCAGAAGGAGACAGTCATCAATTTTTCGGCCATGTTATGAGAAGAGGGAAAATAGAACATGTTGTGACCACTGGAAAGATCTGTGGAAAAAGGGATAGAGGAAGGCAACGAGAGAAGATGCTTGACAGTCTTGTTGCATGGCATGGAGGTGTGTCGGCACCCGAACTGATACATGCTGCAGGAGATCGCAGATTATGGAGAGGCATGATCGCCCACGCAAGTCGGCAAGGCACCTGATGATGATGATGTAACTGTTACTTTGTATGCAACTGACGTTGTACAGCGAAGTATAGCGGGCAAAAAAATTTGCAATCCATTGTTTGTGTCTTCTCTATGCGAAATTCGCCCGAGAAGAGCATTTTGATAATATAATGCATGCCACATAATGACATATTTTTCGGAGAATATCTTGATAACACATGTCACACAATGACATATTTGCCCGAGAATAAAATCTTGATAACATAAGGCATGCCATACCGATGAAATATTTGCTGCAGAACAAGGAGTTGATAACATATGTCACAAAACTACATATTTATACGACAGAAACAAGTTGATAATATAATAAACGCTCCATATTTCTAAATTTGTATAAGAAAGAAGCATTTATCTCTTTAGTATTTTCAAATATACAGTTTCTCACAGTTATATAAAAGTCAGAAAGCACGTTTATTATATCCAATCATTTTTCCATTTGTTGAAAATAAATCTTCTTCTTCTACTTCTTCTTCTTTTTAAGAATTTACGGGCTGTAAACTCCAGCGGAGAGTTCTGGCTGTTCGTCCATTTCTGGACTTAAGCCTTTTGTTTTTTAGAACTTGAATTTTGCGTGGACATCCGTTTTACAGATCTAGCTTATTTATATGCAGACTTTGGTTCCTCGGGTCTCAAACAGATGCACATGTCTTCGAAGGAAACTCCCCTAATTAGTCGCCTTGTATGACATGCTTGTCAGGAAGGCAATGAGGCCCCAGAACCGACAGAGAGATGATGAAGAGAAATACACTGCTTCTCTCTGGCCGCCAAAGATTTCTTTGTCTCGGCGAACCTTGACAGGGCTGGCAAAGAGGTTCGATCTATCAGTTTGCCCCCTCCGAGTTGCTACCTAAAGGTTTACCATTCTATTCTGAGATAAAAGAAAAGTCTTAATCTGGTCGGTAGACCAACAAGTCAGACACCACACACTCCTTTCAGACTCCACAAAAGTTATAATTAGTTCACCCGTGATGATTCCACAAGCCAGCAATAACCTGAAGTCTTACGTGGGTAACGTACAACCCAGCCAAAAATCTCTCTGGTTATAACTGTGGTCTGGGGTTTTTTTTTTGCGCTAAGTTCAATGGCTTAAATGGTTTGTTGTACCAAGAGCTGTGACTTACTGTCCCTAGCTGTGTGGTGTTCTCGCTCTGAACATGTATAGATGCTCCATTCCGCTTCTGTGGTCCGAATAAGGGTTCGGCTTTTCGTGTCCATTCTCCTGTTTTTTGGGTGTAATTGTGGCTGTACCCCTTATATCTCATGTGGTGGTTTTCCTCCCTGGGTACTGTGTCCTGTCTTCTGTCCTTGAGATATCCTCCCTACTTATGTCCTTGCTAAGTGTGCCTCCTGTAACCCTGTAATTTGTAACCCTTTGAAAAAAAAAGTTTGTTGGTTTGTTCATTCGTTCCTGCTGTGGAGTCCCTATATACGGCGGTCCCTTTTTAAGGTTTCATACTGTCCTCTGGGTGCACTTGGCAGCTAAGGCTTTGTGTCGCACCGATCTTATTAAGGTTAGGTGCGCGGTTACAAATGGGAAAAACAAAGAACAACACTCATCAAAAAGTGTGCCCTATAGTCAATCGCGAAGCAGTATGTAATGAATGGCTGTCGTCTGATGCAAGAAATTCTTTACCCTCAAAACAGAATGGTGTTATCAACGTAAGCCATTAGAAATACAATTCAATGAATTATAAGAGACACGTCGCAGAAGGTATTTGACAATGAGAAGAGAAGTGTCTAATCATGTCTTAAAGTCCATGGTGGAAATTTCCAAGACTTGTTATAATTAATATTGCACTGGTAATTTCCAGCTTCCTCAAAACAGCGTTCCACAGCAGTGACTTCTTCTTCTTCTTCTTCTTCTTCTTCTTCTTCTTCTCTTTCACCTTGTACCTCATCGAAGTGTTGAGGGGAGATGTAACATTCGTTGATGAGCTCTGTGAAGAGCACTAAAGGTAAAGGTAAAGTCGGCAGATGTGAACCAGCGTCATTGTTATAAACCATAAGTGCTCTGCCACCAGTACGGAAAGCTGATAAGAAACTGTCTGCCTGTGTTGCCGCCCGCACGTAACTCTGTAGCTACAACGTCGTTCCTCCATTTACCCCAGAGTGTCACTCTGGTACCCATTTCCTAGAGGCTGGGTGAACCTCGGGAACCGCCCGGTTTCGAACAGCAACGGTGGCTGCAGCGAGTCGCAGCTGGATTTAAAATCTAGCCTCCTATCGACTGCGCTAACGCGACCCCTCTGTCAAGAGAGCTATGAAGACTGATGTTAATTTCTGTAAGGCTGCTCCTAATGCCATCACTCCATATTTTTCTAGGTCTTCCACTCGTCCTATGCCCGTTGTAACGTTTTAGTGTAGCTCGCTGCATCAGATAGTACCAGTGCATTCTTTTAAAGGTGTCCAAGCATAAGTGACTACAGTACCTAATTTAATGACATTTTGGCACATTGTTGTTGACGTCGTGCATTTCGTTGTTCACATTTGTTCTGCACGCAAAGTGTAGTGAGACTTTACGAACACCTTATATCTAAAACAGTCCAAGGAAGCCACTGTAGCGTAGTCGTTAGCAGCTCGCTTTCCGGTCCAAAAGTCTTAGGTTCAAATCCGTATAGGGCTCTCTGGTCTTCTTCATCTTCGCTTCCTTTTTTACAGCTTCGGCTCTTCTAACCGCCTCAAACATAGACACATCGTGCTGTTGTAGAGTGTATCTAATGTTATCTTTCCCCGCTGTTTTTGGTCTGCCTCTTATCTACGTCATTCTCCACTTGAGGTGTATTCCTTGTATGGTATAGCGTCACAAGGCATTCTCTCTAAGTGTCACAAGGCATTCTCTCTAAGTGGGCAAACCATTTGATTTGCTGTCTTTGCATGCAATTTACAATTGATTCTGTGCTGACGTTTTCTTGTATGACCTCATTCCTGGTTTTTATCTCTTCTGTTCTTCTCAGCTCCACGGGTTACTAAGTGGTTCTCGGGGTCAACAGCCTAAAATTAACAGCAGAAGACATCATGGGAAGTAAAGGCGATAGGTTGACCTTTGACCCATCAAGCATGAGTCTAGCAACAAATTACCGATGAACTACTGACATGAGAAGAGTCCTTTAGTTTTCGTTCACTATAAACCGCCATAACTGTCCCTCACACATATGAGAACGGGAAACGAACAGTCAGATAAACTGGCTGGCTCTACATCACTTAGTGAATTGAAATATGACAAGCTAGACCTTGTAAGGGTCAGCCTAGGAGCAAATGAACAGTGCGAAGGCACATCCAGATCAGCAAGGTCTGAGGAGAATTGTCCTGCGATTAGTAGCCTGGAGATCTAGCCGACGTTCAACACTCAAGGGAAAGGCGAGACGGAAAGTCTGGATGTTTTTGTTTTTACTTTAATTTTTTTTTTTATGTTTATTCAACGTATCAACATCAAGGCACATAGGGTTAAACCCCATAAGTGCTCCGTTCGACGTCCAACTCAAGTCTGTATCTAAAGAATCTCAGCGCAGTGAACGAACTCCGTTGCATCGGCGAGGATCCTGAAATACTTTAGGCATATTTCTAACTCCAAACTGCCCGGGCAGCGCCGTTAGACTACTTTTTTACATTTCCAACTGCCAAGATATTTCTACACGCTCAATAATACATACAGGCGTCCGATCTTACTACCCACCGACTAGTAGAAATTACTAGAATTCCACGTGAAAAAATCCTAGTCTTCATCGGCGTTTGAACCCGGGACCTCCAGCACTCGAGGCGGACGCCATACCTTGAGACCACTCAGCTTGTTTCAGGGCCATCGGAACCGGGGAAAAAACGGGAACGCATGGGAAAGTCGCAAGTGTTGCGATGTTGATTAAACACATATGAACTAAAATCAACACACCAGACTCACAAGTCTGACCTGCACGATGAACTTCATGAAATGTTCGTCCGTTATCTGGAACAAAGGCAGCAGACCGTGGAAACTAAAGATGTCGAGGGCCAAAGACTGCATGGGATGTCCATTGCTGATGTAGCTCAGAGCAAAGATGTCGTAGGACCACCGGTCCACTTCCTGATTGACATCAGAGACTTCAAGAGTTAAAGTTAGTGACGGTCCAAGGGGGGTTATCCGATCGTGAAATTCGTCTTACGGTAAGGGGTTGTTAGTTTACGGTGATTTCATGTCTAAAATCTCCTCTCCCCCCCCCCCTCCTTTTTTTTATTTTGTCTCTTCCTCTGCCTCTGACTATTTTTTTTTTTTTTTTGGCTCGGTACTATGAATATCGCAACCCTTCGGCCTTGATTCCATTATAGGTACCATTAATCTGGGAGAAATGTGGCTTTTCTGCCTACCCCCGGGAGTGAACCCGGACCACAAGGAGTTCGTCACCCGGCCGCCGCGAAAGTCAGGTTTAACCAACTTCGCTAGAGAGCCGGCTCTCTCTCTCTCTCTCTCTCTCTCTCTCTCTCTCTCTCTCTCTCTCTGTGTGTGTGTGTGTGTGTGTGTGTGTGCGTGTGTGTGTGAAGGATAATGGATGAATGAATGAATGAATGAATGAATGAATGAATGAATGAATGAATGAATGAATGAATGAATGAATGAATGAATGAATGAATGAATGAATGAATGGATGAATGAATGAATGAATGGATGGATGAATGAATGAATGAATGAATGAATGAATGAATGAATGAATGAATGAATGAATGAATGAATGAATGAATGAATGAATGAAAGCTCATCTAGCCATCTCTACGCGCCTTTGCCGTATATGTTTTTTTTTTTTTAATGCGGGCGGGGGGTTTTCGAGACGAGGTTTAAGGTCGCGTGGCCAGTTCAGTCGTCCACGACCATAAACAGGATTCGAACCTAGATCTCTTGCTTCAGAGCCCAGCGTTCGATTAACCACTAAGAACATTTATCATCATCATCATAAACCATTTCTGCCGTTAAGCGCCGTGGGGAGGAATAATTTGCGTTCCAGTGCACGTTGGCTGCCACTGGCTATTGTCATGCCGTGAAGGCGTAGAGTGTCTTTAATGTTGTCGATCCATGTTTTCCGCGGCCGTCCTTTTGCTCTTGTAGTTGGTCTTCTGAGATGTAGTGCTTGTGATGGTATTTGATCTTGCTGCATTCTAACGAGACTAAGAACATTATTGAGTGATTTTAACCTCTTTATCCGGCTGACAATTTTAGCAATGAAACCCAACCAATCATCACACATAAAAAATGCATACAGTGATCGGTCGTGGGTGCAGAGCCGATATATCTGCGACTTTCAACCAACACATTAAACTTGTTAAAGCTTTTGTTGACCAATTTAACCTTCATCGCTGATTTTGTAAGACACCGGATGGTCTCGCTGTGGTGATTTCATCTTCACCAGTTACTTGACGGGTGACAATAAAAACCAGCCTTACTTATGAATACTGAATCCCTCGTCAACATTGAGTGCGCGATCAATGTGTCTTCCTATCGCTCCTGTCTCCATCTCCACCAGTTGTACCAGCTGTCACTAGATTTCATCCCTGTGTGGGTTCCGAAGCCCCATTACGGGGAAAACAAGAATAGACCCACTGCCTGCCCAAAAGCATGCCGAAAGAGTCGACTGATTGGAAGCTTTTTTCGAAGTCGGAGTACATCTGCCTGAGAGGCAAGGAACCATGCAAATGAGTCAGACCTATGAAATGGATGTGCACGCAACACTCAGTTTCTGGAACAGAACTAAAGTATAGAAGTGGGTGAACAGCCAGAACCCCCCCCCCCTCCCCATTCCTCCCCCTCCCCGGAGTTTACAATAGGTGAACGCAAATAAGAAAAAAACTAGATTTCAAATCTCTCTCCGTTCATTAAATGCACAGAGAATTACGAATGTCTGCGCGAATTCCTCTACCTTATTTGTGTTTCTTGTCTCTTATGAAACAGAAAACGTTAATATATTCAATGAAATATAATTTACCTCTTTAAAACTATTTGTCCGTTTACTGATAGATCCCACTGCTTTTGGCAAAACTTCCAGCTTTAAGGAAGAAAAGAACATATGCATGAACTCCATAGCACAGTCAGTAATAAGGATACGCGTACAAACATGAATAACATATAATGTGAATACTACTGTGTGAGTAAGTTCTCGCTTTTGAAATGTAGCTTCTGTAGATGCCTCTAAGCCTGCTTTTTTTTTCACTTGCCAAGGGATTTTATGTGTATACCACCAGCCATCGGGATTTTCTAATGTCTCCCTCCTCTGAGAAGAGTGATTGTGAAATAGACTACTCTGGGATCAGAAAGGAAGTCGCCTCATACCAGATCAGATCAAGTTTGAAGTTGACATTGTGTGTGTCCAAGCCCTTCTGCGACTAAAGCTTTTCAGAACATTCTTACGATCACACTTTGTATCATTTACAAGTGACAGTCTTCAAGTGGTTATCATGACTGGCTCCTTTCCATCTTTCCAGACGATAGTGTTATATTGCGCTTTGAGGAGGCATGGGACTCACAACCCAAGGCGATGGCGAGTGTGACTAGCAAGACCCGTCCACGTTAATAAAAGTCTTTCACAATTATAGCATGGGAATTTCAAGACTGTTGTTGTCAACATTTGTGTTTAGTCTGTTTGTTTTTTCCGAGATGATCAGCTATAATCCATTCTGCAATCATTTCTTCCTTCATTCTCATTCCCTTCTTGGCTGCCCCCCCCCCCTTTTTTTTAATTTCCTCCTTACATTTCCACACAACTCGGTCCATGGCTTTTTTGTTCTCACGAGTCCACCTCGACACCTGTATTATTCATGCCCCGCTTGCACACATCTTTACCCCTCTTTAATTCACCACAGAGGATGTCCTTAAGGTCTCTGCCATCCTCCATTCTCCAGGAGTGACCCAGCCACCGGAGCCTTCGTAGACTGGACATTGAGAAGACGGTTGTACTAATTGCCCCTTTCAAATACCTCAGTTGTGTGTGATCTTGTCCTGCCACTTAATGCCATGTATTCTTCTTTCGCATCGCAATTCCTATGTATATCTACATTATTATAAGTAGCCGTTGAATATACTCATAAGAGTGTGGAAGAGGTAATAAAATGTTAAAATAAAGAATGGCCCAAGCAAAAGCAGCATTTTACGAATGTGACAAGCATTATACGTTTGCGAAGTAAGACTGAAAACAAGAGTTCACAAGAGCTACCCAAAGGCAAGTGTGGACCTGAATCCGACAATCCCCTGTGGGTTCCGGGGCCCTATTATAGAGCAAACAAGAATAGACCCACTGCCTACCCAAAAGAATGTCGTAAGAGTCGACTAACTGCAAGCTTTCTTCGAAGTCGGAGTACATCTGCCTGAGAGGCAAGGAACCAATAGTCTGCCCACAAATGAGTCAGATCTGTCAATCGGATGCACACGCAACACTCAGGTTCTGAAACAGGACTGCAGTCCAGAAGTGGACGAAACAACAAAGAACTTACTGCCTGAGTTTACAGCCGGTGAACGCAAAGAAGAAAGAAGAAGAAGAGGAACCAGGACAGTCAAGAGATGAAATACACATTATGAAGAAGCTACGTAAACGTAGTTTTACAGAATAAAGATTAAATACGGTTCACATTTTAAAAACAAAGAAAGGTGTAGGTGTTATATAGGTTTGGGGTGTTATGAAAGAAATTAACATTCAGAGATAAACGGCTACTATCACCAGAAGATCCCTTTTATCTCTGAGTGTTAATTTCTATCCTAACACATTCATTACGCCTTTCTTTGTTTTTAAATGCCCACTGTATTTGATATTTCTTCTGTAACACTTTATCCCTTTGTTATGTCTGAGCATTAAGCAAACACAGCTGGTTAACATTTATACCTTTTACTACAGGGGCGCCGAAAGCTGGAATTCATATATCTTGACTACCCCCCCCCCTCCTCACATATACATACTTGGGGGCCCCCTCAGCGTATCCCCCCCCCTATCATTTTCATAAGGGCTAAGCCCCCCCCCCCCCCTCATCAAATCCCCTGACTCGAAAATATGCAGGGGCCTGTCCGTCAGTCTGTCCGTCTATCTGTCAGCTAACAAAAATATGATTGCGAATCCCACAGGCGGATTTGGAATCAATAACACAAGAAACAATAAGGACAGGTCACAGATGCAAACAATCCACACATTTTACCACATTAGGGCCAGTCCCCTCGCTTGTCATGGAGGCCCTCCGTTGGAAACCGCTCTCGGTCCGTGAAAAGTTCATATGTCTGCAACAATTAAAAATACAGAGGAAAAGGAAAGGGGGGGGGGGGGGTAGTTAAAATTAACAGCAAAAGGGAAGCTATGGTAAGCGGGTTTAGACAGACTACAAATAGGAGATTTAACATTTTCTTCTTCTTCTTCTTCTTCTTCTTCTTCTTCTTCTTCGCGTTCACCAGCTGTAAACTCTGGCGGCAGGTTCTGGTTGCTCGTCCACTACTGAACTGCAGTCCTGATAGAAAACCTGAGTGTTGCGTGTGCATCAGTTTTACAAATCTCATTCTCTCGAATACAGACTGTTGGTTCCTTGCCTCTCCGGCAGATGCACTCCGACTTCAAAGGAAGCTCCCCAATTAGTTGACTCTCACAATATGCTTTTGGGGAGGCAGTGGGTCTAATCTTGTTTTCCCCACAATGGGGCCCCGGAACCCACACGGAAGATTTAACATTTTCAACACCGTACATTTGTGTTAGGGAGCTGCTTTGGTGTAGCGGCTAGACTCTCGCCTGCGGATCGGAGGGTCCTGGGTTCGGGTCCTGGTGGTGATGGACTTTTTTTGTGTGTCAAAAATAACCTTGGCTCTCAAGTCAACCCAGCCTTGAACAGGTACCGGGTGGAATCCTGGGGGTGGAGGGGGTGGCCGGCGTGATGCTGACCATATCAACCACAAAGTGGCGATTGGTCTATTTTAAAAAAGGTCTAGCCCTATATGCCCTATACGATGAAAGCGTGGAAATGGTCCTTTGCTTTACTTTTAAATGTGTCTAACCCCAGAAGTGCTGGACATTTGTTAAAATTTCCACATATTAATAAGTTAAACTCAAGAACAGCTGGCCAAGCGGTTAAGACCGCCAGGCTCCTGTTTGGGAGATTTAGGTTCGAACCCTCGATAACGTCATGGTTTCTTTTTCTCCGTCGGTGGGCAAAATTTATTCACTAGCCGGTTATAGTAACGTTTTATGTCCATGAAAGAGAGTGATTTCCCTTCCCATTGTGCTTCGTACGTGTCGCAGGGCTTGTCCTATGTTGCGAGGGATGTCACAAGGCACATCTACGCAACATAGGACAAGCCCGCCACGTCTTGTGAATCGTTTCCAAAGGTGCAATTTCTGCAGCGACCCTCTCTTTGAGGTGCCGGAAGTTGTTTTCTTCTTCCCAAGATGTGAGGTAAAGGTAAAGTTGGGAGATGTGAACCAGCGTCATTGCACACGGTTATAAACCATAAGTGATCTGCCACCAGTACGGACAGCTGATAAGAATTGTCCACCTGTGTCACCGTTCGCACGTAACTCTGTAGCTACAGCGACGTTCCTCCATTTACCCCAGAGTGTCAATTCTGGTACCCATTTCCTAGAGGCTGGGTGAACCCCGGAAGCCGCCCGGTTTCGAACACCGACCGTGGGCTGCAGCGAGTCGCAGCTGGATTTGAAAGCGAGCTTCTTATCGACTGCGCTAACACGGCCCCACATAACGTATAGATATCCCCGGAACTACAAATGGCGCCTACACTGACGTTTAATAAAATTCATTTGAAACTTTAAACTTTTCTGAACATTTTAATACACGACACGTGTATATCCGCTAAATACTTCTTCTATGATAACAATTTAAAAACCCGTCAATCATTCTCAATTATTCTGCATAGGTAGCCCAACACATATAGCGTCTCACAAAGCACGAAAACCGTAGCTCCGGTGACGACTTAGATATCTCAGTAACCAAAAAAATGATACTTCACAACATAACAACGCAGCCTGTGAATCAAACCCTTGACATTCTGGACGTTTGGAAAACATCTTAACCACTTCACCATTGATTCCCAATCCCTTTTTCCTGCTTACCCCCCCCCCCCCACCCCATCTCACTCTCTGTCTCTCTCTCTATATCTCTATATCTCTCTCTCTATCTCTCTCTCTATCTCTCTCTCTCTCTCTCTATCTCTCTCTCTCTATCTCTCTCTCTCTCTCTTTCCCGCAAAAAAAAATGTAAACAAAACATAGGGAACAAAACTGCAGTTTCCTGTGTTGGTTCCAGGACCCCATTTTGGGGAAAACATGAAGAGACCCACTGCATCCCCCACAAGCATGTCCTAAGAGTCAACTAATATGGAGCTTCTTTCAAAGTCGGAGTGCATGTGCATGTGCATGAGAGGCAAGGAACCAACAATCTGCTTATAGTTATGTCAGATCTGTTAAACGGATGTGCACGCAACAATTGGGATAAGGTTAATGTCCAGAGGTGGACAAACAACCAGAACTTTCCGTCGGAGTTTACAGTCAGTGGCCGCGCAGAAGTTAAAGAAGCGGAAGGCCGTGGTGAAACACAAGGTCCTGCTTACCTCTTGGCTATGCTTGGTTTTGAGATGCTCTGTCTGTCTTCTTTCAACAGCTGTTGCATTCTCTCTGTCAGTTCCAGAAAACTCCATTCAAAATTGGAGTCATCATACTCTCTGAAAACAAGGAGCGCAACATTTGACGGCTTCTTCGTGTGCGTTCTGGGGACCCCTTGTGTGTGTGTGTGTGTGTGTGTGTGTTTGGTGTGTGTGTGGTATGTGTGTGTGGTGTATGTGTTGTGTGTGTGGTGTGTGTGTGGTGTGTGTGTGGTGTGTGTGTGTGGTGGGGTGGGGAGAGAAAAATAGTCTCACTTAGTCTTTCCTCTTGTGTCGAGTGCGGCACATAGGGCAGAGGTCATGACTCTCCATGCATGGCGGTTCGTTGCAATCCGCTGTAGGTCTTGGATGTTTGAGTGGCCCATGAGCCTTCCCTGATGATAGTTCTACGTAGGGTTTCCCTTGGTCTTCCACGAGATCTTTTCCCCTGTGTGTCCAAATAGTCTCACTGCCTTCCCAAAAAGCATGTCGAAAGAGTCAACTAATTAGGCGTTCCTTTGAAGTAAGAGTGAATCTGCCTGAGAGGCGAGGAACCAACAGTCTGCATATGAATTAACTAGCTTCGTAAAACGGATGCGAATGCTGCGCTCAGGTCCTGGAACAAGACTAAAGTCTAAAGGTGGACGAACAACCAGAACTTTCCGCCGAACATTCCGCCGGAGTTTACAGCCGGTGAACGCAAAGAAGAAGAAACTCCCTAAAACGGGTACCGAGGTAAAGTCCTGGAAAATAAAGGCAGCTGGCAAGGGGGGCTAACCATATCGTCCATCTAATTCCGATTGGTCAGTTTAAACAAACAAAAAAATAAGTCTTGCAAAATATGTTAAGTTAGCTGCGTGTCCTTTACATGACGTTGCAGAACCAACCCCAGCATTTTTTTTTTTTTCGGGCTGTTGTGGTTTTTCTAGGCAAATTTTACAATCAGTAGTTTGCCATTGCCTATGAACGCTCAGCTCCCGGTACCACTGTCGAAAGCAGCGCAAGACAAATCGTCCGCAGCTGGGATCGAACCCAGCACCCCGGCATTACAAAGCGCGTTCGCATGAAAAGGTTATATTAACCTTTACTGGAGCTTTGTCACGTTGTTTTGTCACCCATGAAGAGAAGCTAAATTTCTCAGGAATTATCAATTTGTCAGGGATTATCACACTTTCAGAGGTTATAACATTTTCGGCAGGCATCCCAGATGGGAAAAACCGGCAACGATAGCCAACCAAACAAATGTTCCGAAAATTGTTAACATAAATAAGTGAAGGGAATAAATTCTGGGCGTGGATTCCTTCATACTTGTTGCAATGTTATAAAGTTTGCGGTGGGGTAGAATGTTATCAATATTACCCAGTGAATTCTGTTACTACTGGCTCTTGAATACTGGGACCGGCTCAGTCAATAGTAGGACAGACTAGATGAGTACTGGAACAGACTAACTGGATGTTGACACACGGTGACTGAATGCCGGGAGTGGCAAAACTTGATATTGGGCGTGAATAACTGAATACTGGGCGTGGCTAACTGAATGTTGACACTGGCGGGCTGAATGTTGGGAGCGGCTAACTGAACATTGGGAGCGGCTAACTGAACATTGGGAGTGGCTAACTGAACGTTGGGTGTGCCTAACTGAAAACTGGAAGCGGCTAACTGAACGTTGGGAGTGGCTAACTGAACATTGGGAGTGGCTAACTGAACATTGGGAGTGCCTAACTGAACATTGGGAGTGCCTAACTGTAAACTGGAAGCGGCTAACTTAACATTTGGAGTGGCTAAGTGAACATTGGGAGTGGCTAACTGAACATTGGGAGTGGCTAAGTGAACATTGGGAGCGGCTAACGGAACGTTGGGAGCGGCTAACTGAACACTGGGAGCGACTTACTGAATGTTAGGAGTAGCAAACTGAATATTGGGAGTGACTAACTGAATACTGTGAGTGGCTAACTCAGCGTTGTGAGTGGCAAAATGAATGCTGACACTGGCGGACTGAATGTTGACGTGGTAAAACTGGCGGGCTGGATGTTGGCAGCGGCAACATGGGAGTGTATTATGTGCAATGACGTCGACTATGATAAAACAAAAGCATGTCACTGTGGGCTTCTTCGAAGTCAAAGTGCATCTGCCCGAGAGGCAAGGAACCAATAGTCTGCATATGAGTAAGCCAGTTCTGTAAAAAGGATGCGGAAGCGGCATTCAGGTTCTGGAACAAGACTAAGGTCTAAAGGTGGACGAACAACTTGAACTTTCCGCTGGAGATTACAGACGTGAACGCAAAGAAGAAGAAACTGTCTAAAATGGGTATCGAGGTAAAGTCCTGGAAAGTAAAGGCAGCAGGTGGTGGCTATCCATAACGTCCACCTAATTCCGATTAGTCAGTTAAAAAATATATGTCTTGCACAATATGTTATTTGCGTATCCTTTACAGGACGTTGCAGAACCAGCTTTAGCATTATTTGACTTTTATGCTTTCTCTAGGCAAATTTTACGTTCAATAGTTTGCCATTGCCCCTGAACTATCAGCTATCGGTGCCATTGTCGAAACCAACGCAAGACAAATCATGACCGGCTCCAGCTGACGGGCCGTGCTGCTGACGTCACCGCGTCAGGCTAACGATGCCGTAACGCAGCGGTTCTCAAACAAGATATAAACTATTTTCGACAGTGGCAAGGAAAGACAACTTAAATTTTATCTTTAAATATCTGCATGCCTTCTTTATTATTTCCCATTTTTAGCCGACTTTTCTTTATTACGCGGCAGCCCTGGCATACGCTCAGGACACCCCAGGCTGCCTCAGCACCCAGTTTGAGAAATGCTGCGTCAACGCATCGTTAGCCCGACCCGGTGACGTCAGCAGCACGGCCCGTCAGCTGGAGCCGGTCGTGGACAAATTGTCCGCAGTTGGGATCAAACCCGGCATTACGAAGCGTGTTCGCGTGAAAAGGGTACATTAATCTTTACAACTGTGGAACCTGTGTGTTACATATATGCTCTCTACATGCAATAGAGCGATCTCAGGTTTGCCCGGTTGGCATTCCAATATAAACCAATTACGTGGAATGGTGGAAGAGATGTGTCGCACCACAAACTTCATAGATGTATGTGGTCTTCTTATCCAAAAACAACTGGCAGGGGGAACGGAAAGAAGAAGATTAAGATAAATGAGTTAACAAATTAAAACTATGTTCAGAGAGCTCAGTTTACCAACTGTACCCACACAGGCTAGCATCATCGTTACGGGTGCCCCAGTTCTAATCTCCTTACATGTTGAACGGAATGTCTGAGCTTTGTCACGTTGTTTTGTCACCCATGAAGAGAAGCTAAATTTCTAAGGGATTATCAAATTCTCAGGGGTTATCAAATTTTCGGCTGGCATCCTGTGTGGGAAAAACCAGCAACGATAGCCAACCCAGCAAATGTTCTGAAAACTTTTAACATGAATAAGTCAAGGGAATAAATTCTGGGCGAGGATTTCTTCATACTTGTTGCAATGTTATAAAGTTTGCGGTGGGGTAGAATGTTAACAATATCGCCCAGTGAATTCTTTTACTACTGGCTAGTGAATACTGGGACCGGCTCAATCAATAGTAGGACAGACTAGATGAGGATTGGAACAGGTTAACTGGATGTTGACACACGGTGACTGAATGCCGGGAGTGGCAAATTGAATGCTGGGAGGGTCAAACTGAATGCTCGGAGTGGCAAACTGAATACTGTGCGTGGCGAACTGAATGTTGACACTGGCGGACTGAATGTTGGGAGCGGCTAACTGAACATTGGGAGCGGCTAACTGAACATTGGGAGCGGCTAACTGAACGTTGGGAGTGGCTAACCCAACATTGGGAGCGGTTAAGTGAACATTGGGAGCGGCTAAGTGAACATTGGGTGTGGCTAACTGAACATTGGGAGCGGTTAAGTGAACATTGGGAACGGCTAATTGAACATTGGGTGTGGCTAACTAAACGTTGGGAGCGGCTAACTGAACGTTGGGTGTGGCTAACTGAACGTTGGGAGCGGCTAACTGACCACTTGAAGCGACTTACTTAATGTTGGGAGTGGCAAACTAAATATTGGGCGTGACTAATTGAATACTGGGCGTTGTTAACTAAATGCTGACCCTGGCAGACTCAGTGTTGGGTGCGGCTGACTGAACATTGGGAGCGGCTAACTGAACATTAGGAGTGACTAACTAAATACTGTGAGTGCTAACTCAGCGTTGGGAGTGGCAAAATGAATGCTGACACTGGCGGACTGAATGTTAAGGGTGGCTGACTGAATGTTGACGTGTTCAAACTGGCGGACTGGATGTTGACAGCGGCAACATGGGAGTGTATTATGTGCAATGACGTCGACTATGATAAAACAAAAGCATGTCACTGTGGGCTTCTTCGAAGTCAAAGTGCATCTGCCCGAGAGGCAAGGAACCAATAGTCTGCATACGAGTAAGCCAGTTCTGTAAAAAGGATGCGGAAGCGGCATTCAGGTTCTGGAACAAGACTAAGGTCTAGAGGTGGACGAACAACTTGAACTTTCCGCCGGAGATTACAGACGGTGAACGCAAAGAAGAAGAAACTGTCTAAAATGGGTATCGAGGTAAAGTCCTGGAAAGTAAAGGCAGCAGGTGGTGGCTATCCATAACGTCCACCTAATTCCGATTAGTCAGTTAAAAAATATATGTCTTGCACAATATGTTATTTGCGTATCCTTTACAGGACGTTGCAGAACCAGCTTTAGCATTATTTGACTTTTATGCTTTCTCTAGGCAAATTTTACGTTCAATAGTTTGCCATTGCCCCTGAACTATCAGCTATCGGTGCCATTGTCGAAACCAACGCAAGACAAATCATGACCGGCTCCAGCTGACGGGCCGTGCTGCTGACGTCACCGCGTCAGGCTAACGATGCCGTAACGCAGCGGTTCTCAAACAAGATATAAACTATTTTCGACAGTGGCAAGGAAAGACAACTTAAATTTTATCTTTAAATATCTGCATGCCTTCTTTATTATTTCCCATTTTTAGCCGACTTTTCTTTATTACGCGGCAGCCCTGGCATACGCTCAGGACACCCCAGGC